CGAAAATTCAAGGATCAAGTTACTACAGTTCAATTAATTAAAAATCATATCGTATATAATATAATAATGCTTTGTTAAATAAATAATATGAGTTTTATAATGGATGAAAAAAGACAGGATTTCTTATTGGGTTTTAATCGAAAATTTACAATCTAATAAATATTTGTCGAAAGCTAAAGGTGGTTGTGGGGGGGGCTATGGACTTTAATTAAAAAAACAAAAATCCTGCCTTTATTTCAAGGATAGTGGATGCATTTCAAAGTTAATACATAATTGTATTCATTTTTTTAACCAAAAATAAACAAATTATTTGTTGAAGTCGTGAGGAGCGGTCAAGAATGAGATAGTTTGGAAAGACACCTTTTTCATTTTTTTTGCCGTCGTTTCGACCTTTAATCGGGTCATCTTCAGGGTATAAAGTGTGGTGCTATTCGTGTTGTGTCATATTCGTTTTGTGTGAAAGTGAAAGTGTGAATAGCTAAAGTGTGATGTTCTTTTATTCTCTGAAGATGACCCGAATAAAGGTCGAAACGACGACAAAAAAAATGAAAAAGATCTTTTTCTTAAGTACCTCATTCTTGACAGCTCCTCACGACGTCAACAAATTATGAGACAACAAGTCACTAAGAAACACACACTTTCACACAAAACCAGTATGACACCACAAGAAAAGCATCACACTTTGTGCCCTGAAGATGACCCGAATAAACATCGAAACGTCGGCATAAAAATGAAAAAGGTGTCTTATAAACCACCTCATTCTTGACTGTTCCTCACTACTTTAACAAATTATGGAACCAGGTCACTAAGTAACATAATTTCATTAAATAGTATGAAATATAGAAAAAGTTACAAAAACCAAAAAATTATCAGTAAAGAAGTGCAAAAAACATTTTTTTAAAAATAAACATAATTCGGTTTCGTTTCAACCACCTTCTAACTCTCAAGTTCCATATATATATAAATTTTTGTGCTAAATTCGCCGGAGGAGATTTTTTCTCTCCGATGTACGGTGTTTCACTTAAAAATTCATAACTCCTTTGAATTTCATCCAAACGTAATGCTATTTCAGCCTTTATAATGAGTAATTCTCTTCTTTCAGCCTATGTCAACAGAGTTTAGATTTTATGTAAAATTATATGTGAGAATAAGGATGAAATCAACAAAAACTTCTCAAACGTTTTATTTTCTTTTTCCGGTATTAATTAATTTTATGAAGGCGACGTTATTGGCATTACGTGCATTTTATAGAGTTTTAAAGCCCTGTAGGGTTTCAGGTTGATTCATGGAGACGTTTCAAAATTATTACCATTTTTGTGATTTGTGGAAAAAATCGTATAAATTATGATAGCGAAAGTTTCAGGTGGTTATTAGTTTTTGTTAGCTTTTGTTAAATTCATTTGGATATTTTTTAAAGTTTGTATTATATTTAAATTGATTAAGGTTTTTAGTTGAGATAAAAAAGTCAGTGTCACGAGGGGGATTCGAACCCATGACCTTCGGTTAGATACGACGCTACTCAACCACTTGAGCTGTAGTGACTTCGATCCACTCGACCACTAACTTCCCATCTCAACCCCACCCTTGAATTTTCCCTCCTTTTTGCCATCTTTCAAGTGGTAGAATAATGGCGTGTTTAGGCGAAGCTCTTGGGTTCGAATCCCGCTCATGACACTAACTTTTTTATCTCAAGTAAAAACCTTAATTAATTGAAAGATATTAATTGGTCAAGCGGACCATGAAAACTAGTGAATTATATTTAAATTTTTATATGTATTATTATTAATTGTTATTATTAAAGGGCAATTTTTCATTACAGAATTGTTTGGAAAATCGAATTGTTCCAGTTTAATGTCAATTTACATTTTGAACTTTTGGTGGGTGGTCTTCGAGTTGTTGTCCTTGATCGTCCTTATCCACTTATTGCCGTTATATGTTTCGGCCGCCGAGGAAGTTTTGTAATTTCGGCGATGTATACGTATTTATTATATGTACCGGGGCTAGGATTTACGAAAAAATGAATCGCAAGGTGATAAAAATTGCAATTTACCCGCGGACTTTTTATTTATAAATAATACATTTTAATTGAGTCGAGTGTCACTAGCCATTGAAATTACTGAATTAATTGATTCAATTAATTCATAATTGATGGGAGAGCGGATATGAACCAAGTCCATTCAATATTGAATCAATTATTTATAACAAGCTATTGTTTATTTTATTAAATTGTGTGTTATATTATCTTATTTTAAGTTAATTTAAAATTCAGTTTTTGTTCCAGTACTACTGGGATTTTTCTTGTTAAAGGTAGCACGTTTCTAATCTATGTTAAAAACAGTTGTTGCTGTTTGTTAACGGGGAGATAATCGACGGCTAAAATATGTCAGTGTTACATTGGTAGCCGGTTAACTTTACATGCAGCCTACATAAATACTTCATGAACAACACACAAGAAAGACCACGTGGCTCTGTGTGTTTACTATTCAGCGGCATCTCCCGTTAAAAATACATTGCACTTAGGGAAGCGTAGATCTTTGTCCAGGGGCTTTAACAAAAGGATTCTTGAAGCTTTAATGATCAACAGTAAATAGTGAAACGTCGGCAACGCTAAATCACGTGATACTCCCTCGTCCAGTTTGGCGAGGGATACGAGGTAGAAGAAAAAAACGAAATTTGCATACAATGATCTCGGAGGAGCACGATAACCTCAAAAGGACGTAGTCGTCCCATTTACCGGACTGGGGCAGCTGCACAATGTAGAACTTGTAGCAACTAATGTAACAGACGCAAATTTCACTACCAAATCGTAATTATGTAACTGGACGGCGTAATGTCTGTATGAATAAATTGTTCTATATTTCATCAAAGCCCATATTTAAGAGACGAATAATTATTTTAAAATCGCTTTGGATCATGCATAAAAATAGTAAGGCATAATAGGCTAATAGGCCTTTTAGTGAAAGTCTTTCTTTTTTATAAATATACAATAGCTTATTCCCAGCTGTTATCAACTGGCACAAGCATTTTCAACGATTGTTTGAATTTTAAAGAAGGAAAATTGATGATGTTACAGCAGAATGCCGATTTCGTCCCTTTAAGAGGCTGAGGTTCGATAAAGATCTGGAAAAGAATTTTGAACGCTCGTTAAATCCCGATGGTACCGTTCGGGGACGTAAATGTGACTGAAAGTATGTGAACTGGGTTTCAGACGTGTAATTTTCTCCACTCCGAGTTGCGTAACCTTCTGATCCGTGATAACTGTGACTTAATATGGAATCTCAATTTGACAGTACAATTTTCTATGAATTGCTCTCCGAGTACGAATTTATTTTGTGAACTTAGATAGATAGATAGATATAATATTTCAGGGTATGGTATACTGCGCCCTTTAAGAGCTATTGTATCCCATGTGCTCTGCCTAAAGCACATCGGTGAGTCCTATTTCATCAAGAAACTTGATTAATAGGCCCGGTTTCAGTGTTCTTATGGTCACATTGGTGTTCTTATGGTACATCCCAAAACACTTCCTCCTGCGGGCTAGTGTAGCTCCGCAGTTTGTTAGTAAGTGTGTTGGTGTCTCTTGTGCTTCTTTGCAGAATCTGCATGTGCCATCTTGGATTATTCCAATTTTCTTTAGGTGTCCATTTAATCTACAGTGTCCTGTCAGGAATCCTGTTAGGATTCGCAGTCTATTCCTGCTTCCTTTGACGCATTCTGTGATTTCTTTCTTGCCAAAATTGGTTAGAAGATTCTTGGATTGTCTATGTCCAATAGGTGAATTTCAAAGTTCGCTCGTTTTCTTTTTGTCCTTCTGTCTGAGGTATTCGTTAATAGTGTGTATTCCTATTCCACAGAAGGGTTTTTTGTGAACTTAGTCATCACTCATCTCACATTCAGACATTCTTCTTCATTTATGAACGGTCTGGAAATGGTTCAGACTTAATCAGTAATGGTCAGTAGCTGTATTTTCACCACAACATACAACATTCTAAATTTCAATATATATGCATAACCTATATGCAATATGTATAACCATCCTCATGACGACAGTCATCCCCTTCTTCTTTAACTCCGATTGAAACTCTCAGCATCTTAACCACCAAGTACATTCAATAAAGTCCGCAATGGATATTTCGAAACTGCTATAAGAGCTGTTTCTTTTGAATTATAGTAAAACTCAATTTATTGCCTTGTGATTTAAAAGATGAAACAAAATCTATTTGAAAATGAAGTTAGATGTCCTAAACATCCTTCAGACCCCGACGCTAGTACAAAACCATCTTCATACCGCAAAAAAGCATACTAAATTCCCGAAAAATCCATCTTCAAACCGCTCTTGCACAAAACTGAACCGTTGCTTTTCCAGCACAAAACGATTTTGGACCGTTGAAACTCCTGAACAAAACCATCTTTGGACCATAGCTATTCCTGTGGAAAACCATTATTGGACAGCCAGTCTTGTAGAAAACCATTTTTGAACCGCTGGTTCTCGCGAATAAAACAATAACCAGATCACGTACGCTAGTGAAGTAGAGCCAACTGCACAGATGTTTATAACTACCTACTATCAAATAATTTATGTACCAAGTAGCTTTTATCTTAGACGTCTTCCACGCGGGCCTCTGTTTTAATTTCTAATTCGGAATGGATTTCAAAAAATCTTTTTTTATCGGCTATCCATGTCATTATAGGTCATTAGAACGCAAGTCCAAATTTCAGCTCTTTAGTTCCAGGGATTTGTTCTGTGCGTTGTCTCAGTCACGGAACTTGTTTTGTATACCGGTATTTATGGTATTGGTTTAGATAAAAAATCAGTTTCACAAGCAGGATTCGAACCCAGGACCTTGGACTAAAGACGCCGCTGCTCTACAACTTGAGCTCTCCGTGGCCATTTCATTTCTCGCCGAGAATCAAATAGATTACGTCATTTGAAAAATGGCAAAAAGAAGGGAAAATTCAAAAGGTGAGGTTGAGGGAAGTTAGTGTCCGAGTGGATCGAAGTCACGATAGCTCAAGTGGTAGAGCAGCGGTGTGTTTAGCCGAAGGTCGTGGGTTCGAATCCCGCTTGTGACACTCACTTTTTTATCTCAACCAATACCTTAAATACATATTAATTAATTGAAAGATATTATTTGGTCAAGCGGACCACGAAAACTAGTGAAATTAAATACAGGTTTTATCAACTTCTATAATCTACCATTTAATACGAAAACGATTACCTTTAGCAAAAAATGGTCTTAGACAAACCCCAAGTTAATTTTGGCTAGGAATCGCGTGGTGGCAACAGATTTAACATAACCTTCTCATCTAGCTGGGAAATGACACTAACTTTGTTATTTTAAATGAGAATCCCATTTTTTTGTACAATTCGATTCTAAGGCTTGTTTTATGCCAGTTTTACCGAATGGAAAATTTTGATAGGTTCGACCATTTCTGAGTTACGCCCGACGGAAGAAGCCTGAGGTAGTATGCTTTTTATAACAAGATGGGCCTCCTCGTTTTAAATTTAAATTTTAAAATGCAGGGGTTTGTGTAAGACCAACCAAGAATGGGTGGACTATAAAAGTTGATACACCCTGTATATAGATAAAAGATAGGCATGGAATTTCAAATATCCTTTCTTCGCTGCTACCCATGTCATATAAGAATGTGTATAATATAAAAAGAATTACTCTCTCAAGTTACTGATGTCAATTAAATTGATGTAAGCCTGTTTTGTTTTAAAGGCCATAGTTGATGTTGATTCTGACACCTATTTTTGTTAAGCGATGTCATTTTTGTTATGTGAGTTGCTTACATAATTTTATGCAAATTTTAAATACCACATTTAATAGTATATCGTTGATAATAATAATGAAAAACATTTTAGTTTTATTTGTATAACGTCTGTGATTATAGTAATTTATTTTTGGGGGGGGCCAGGTGTGGGAAGGAAGTTTTAATCCTTATCCTCCTTGAAGTCTCGTCTTTAACGGTATATCATATGTTGATGGAGCAAGGATGAGGCGATGGTACCACGTGGTTCCTTTGTGATGACATAGCAGTCAGCAAGGCCACTCTATTGCCTGGTTCCAGGAAAATGCTAGACTGGATCACTGACCTGCCGTCAGTTCCTGAGCTATGACGAGGGGGAATCTATCCCCCCTTTCTTGACATATCTTGACGTTTGCTGCGGGAAACTATCCGATGCATTGTGTGAAGCAAGACGACTTTTGATCTTTGATTTAATTGACAGATGAAAAAAAATTAAAAAATCAATAGGAAATGAATGATTATTTCTTCTTCTGGGGGTCTTGAAACAATTCTTCTATCTTTTGAAACATAAATCTTGTTATGCTTTGTTTTCTATATTTTATTATAAGAATGATTTTCATACATGTAAATCCTAACATCTTTAAAGCGAAGTTTGTTTAAATAATTTATATACCTGCTTCCAAATAAGGTTAGAGAACTTAACAAATAATTATTTTTCCGTGTGAAATGTATATTTAAAAAATGTTAATTTAATTCAGAATTAAAGAAAAAATCTCACCTTAGAATCTTTGTAGTGCCCACAAAATTGGGCAAAACTATTTGATGGGTTAGTGTGTCAGCAGTTGTAAAACAATCTACTGCTTCAGGATCCTAGTCCACTCTTTCAAAAACACGTTGCAATTAGCATCTTTTAGCGGCCAAGTGTAAATTGAACGAGGCATTTTAAAATGTTTTATTATCTCGTTGATCAAATTTATACAGATTGTGCGACTGTTATGTTCTATGATCAGATATTCGATATAAGAAAAAAATAAATAAAATACTCGATCCCTTGAATGGAAATGAGATAAAAGGATGGATAAGGTTAGGTCTTTGAAATTTTATTCAGTGATTTAAAATGTAAACAAGCCTATGACCTCAAGTATAGCGAAATTAAATATTGAGATGAAATAGCACAAGGTCTTTTAAGAACGTTTAAGGCAAGCGAGGTAGCGGGTTCTCATGGTGGAAAAATGAAGATAATGCAACCAGGATTTAATCAATTCGTTGTTAAAAGGATTGCTGAGATCGTTCTGGATAGTGATGTAGTAAAGAGCTTTGACAAAGATTTGGTCAAAGATTTCTAACTGCAATTCGAAGTTATTCTAAAATGGGGTTTCCATATCAACCTACTGTCTAGGTGACTGGAGTGGATGTTGATAGCTAAATGTCCGCTTTTTGCACCAGTCTTTGATAAACGCAAGGTGTTCTTGATGCTGGTAGTGATTTTATAGATGATTAGAAGAATTGACAGTCTCATAAGGTGGTAACGATGATGATGAGATGTGCAAAAAAGCCGGCAATATAAATGGTTTACAAGTTGTTACTACGGAAAATATATAAATTTAAAATTCACTGGTTTTCGTGGTCCGCTTGAACAATTAATTAAGGTGTTTAGTTGAGATAAAAAAGTTAGTGTCACGAGCGGGTTTCGAACCCACGACTCTCGGCTAAATACGCTGCTCTACCACTTGAGCTATCGTGACTTCGATCCGCTCGGACACTAACTTCCCATCTGAACCTCACCTCTCGAATTTCCCCTCCTTTTTGCCATTTTTCAAATGTCATGTAATCAATTTGATTCTCGGCGACAAATTAAATGGCCACGAAGAGCTTTAGTGATATACTTCATTTAACTTATTAAATTCACTATTTATCGACTAAAATGGCAAAAAGGAGGGAAAATTCAAAAGGTGGGGTTGAGATGGGAAGTTAGTGTCCAAGTGGATCGAGGTCACGATAGCTCAAGTGGTAGAGCAGCGGCTTATCTAGGACTTCGATCCACTCGGATACTAACTTACCATTTCAACCCCACCTTTTGAATTTTCCCTCCTTTTTGCGTATCTAGCCTAAGGTCGTGGGTTCGAATCCCGCTCGTGACACTGACTTTTTATCTCAACTAAAAACCTTAATTAATTAAAATTAAAATTCTCAATGTTTGTAATTAACCTCTTGAGGTCATCGAAGTGATGATTGTTTTTACCATATACGCCAAAAATATAATTCTTTTCCCAACACATTTTTGGCACTGACAAGACCATGATATAGGTAATTTAAAAATAATGAAAATAACAGTGGGTTCAAAACGCAGCCTTGAAGCACACTCTTGTTTGTGTCAAAGATTTGTGTTAAAGCATTCTTATGCCATAAATTCTATCCAAAATAAAAAATTTGATAATACATATTTAGAAGGTAGGCGTTTTGTAGCATTTATAAACACACAAAAACGCACGTTCGTTGGTTCAGATTTTCCAGAACTACCGCCTTTCTCGATTATATATTTTTACAGCATCCAAATCTTACTAAAATTGATACCAATTTTGTCCTTTGTTTGTTCTTAGTTATCTAAAAACTTACGAAGGGCTTTTTCTGATTCTGCAAAAATAAGGCGTTTTGTAGCATTTATAAACACACAAAAACGCACGTTCATTGGTTCAGATTTTCCAGAACTACCGCCTTTCTCGATTATATATTTGTTCTTAGTTATCTAAAAACTTACGAAGGGCTTGTTCTGATTCTGCAAAAATAACAGGGAATCTAATGTATTGTGTTGTAATATTGTATTCATAGTCACAACTTACCAGATCACAAAGTGAAGGTTTTATTTTTGTCACATAAAAATTTATTGTTGTCAAATTGTCTGGAGGATTCTCGGAATTATTTAATATTTATATTTCACGAAAATTTCAATTCCAATTCAACAATAAGTTTCTTTACATAATTTCTTATAACACTTGTTTGCATGCAAAATATTCTTTCAGTGTATTATTTTATTCTTTGATTTCCGAATTAATTTAGTAGGGAGGGGCAGTAATTTTTCACTTTGTTCTCGTAAATCCTGAATAACAACACATTGACATTGTGAAATACGACAACATTTCTCAAAACTTTTCAAATTTACATATGTTACAATGCTCTTACATATATACAACATAAATATATCATTTACAGTTTTGCTGCCCTATAAATATTGTATTTCCCGTTGTCAACATTTCGCAAACGGCCATTTAATTAATTGTCTCGTTATCTTCTAATAAATTAATTCTTAGATTTATGAAACCGCGTTCAGCTGGTAAGACATGGTTGGAGGTTGTAAACATGGTACTCAGTATTGCAATAAAATCTTTCATTAAAAGTAATATTAATTTTTAACCTAACTTATGCAATTTTAAACAGAACATTTAATATGATGTTTGTTGATCGACCTGCAGATAATTTATGTGGAGTTTGAATTTTCATGGAGGTCATTAGACAGGTGAAGAAAGGAAAAACTAATTGTTGGGTTCACCAAGCTTTCGGCAACTTATAGTGCCATCATCAGGGCTTTCCCAAGAGTGCAGAAAACGATTAACATGGTAAAACTATTGTAAAAACGTCTTGGGTTTAAGGTTATGAAGCACATGGCCAGCAAATTACATTGAACATGGTGAATACAGTCATCGCCCTTCTAAAAATCCATATGATTGTGGGTTCAACAATTTTGTTCTGACTAGCAATTTCTTATAGGTAACATTTATGATCACAGAGTATTTTGACTAGAATTATAGCGTTTTTATAATAGTTTTACCATGTTAATAGTTTCCTGCTCTCTTGGGGAAGCCCTGATGATGGCTCTATAAGTTGCCGAAAGCTTGGTGAATCCCAAAATTTGTCATTTCCTTTCTTCACCTGCCTAATGACCTCCACGAAGATTGAAAATCCACATAGAACTTTTAACTCCAATAATTGTCTTTTTTTAATTGCCTAATATTTTATCTTCCTATGTTTTTTTTTCTAACTGAAACTCTTTCCAATTCTTGCTTCCAAAAACGCTAGTACTTATAATTAGAGAATATCGGCTAATTTCGTAGTTATAAACATTAGATTTAGTTGTAAATACAATATGGTACTTTCCTATAGCTGACGCTGTATTTCTCTGGTGCCTTCTGGGACATACATACCTGAAGCACTTGATGGATTTGGCACCCAGGACGTCTGTGCAAGCTGATCATACCACATTTTTTCTTTTTACCATTACTTATTTCAAATTTTTCCAAAATACTTCTTTTATCGTCCATTTA